ATGGCTAATCGTTCGTTCTTGTTGTAAGATCCGATCCTTCTCTGCTGAATTGTTGAGATGTAGAGCAGAGAATGTATTGTTGACTTGGGCAATATGTGCGTTAATCCTTTGTGATGGAATTCCTTAGGGATCTAAACTCGCTGATTTTTTCCTTCCTACTTTGTTGCATCACTATGGTAGCAATGACGATTCAATGTCTCACTGATGATATCCTGGAAACAGGCAAGTATTTTATTAGGTTGTTTTGCCCGACGCTAAATAGCAGAGATATATCCAAGAGGTCTAGAAAGTCTCGTAAAGGTTTGAGAGGACGTTTGAGGAAAAAAAAGAAGGACGGTGACCGCAGTGCGCCAAGTGTCCATTCAATGTGCTGCGCATGTCCATGGAATGATTCAGAATACACCAAAATGTCGTCCATGTACACGATGATGCAAAAATTGATCATTCCCTGCGTTAACCTGGTCTTGTTCACGAAGTTCCGCAAGGTGACATTCATCGCCCTCTGAAAGGTCGCCCGTGCATTGCATATACCCATAGGACAACGAATCCACTGCCACGTGCCTTCAAATAATACAAATGCCATCTTCGGTCGATCCTCTTCTCGTACAAGGATATGGTGGAACCCGTGCCGAATGTCAAATTTACTAAAATAGTTAGCACACCCCATTACATCCAGCAAATCATCAATCCGAGGGAGGGGATATACATCCTTGATCGTGATATCATTCAATTTTCGATAATCGATGCATATACAAATCGATCCGTTATTCTTTGGGACCAAAACTACCGGGAAAGACCAAGGACCTGTAGCGGGCTCTATCCACCCATTAGCTTCGAACTCACGGATGCACTCGAGTGCTGCCTTCCGTTCCGCCAGTGAGTATCGATAAGGCTTGCAATGAATCGACGGGTGGGTACCGGTCTAAATCTCATGCTGGATTATCAAATATAATCCTATATCCGTGTCATCAACGCTGATAGCACCCCGGTACTCCGTTAGGATTTCTGCTATGAGTCTATGGGTTTCGTCAGGAACGTATTCTGGCACGTGTAATTTGTAAAGCTGTTTGTGAATGACGACCGTAATGTGTTTGGTGCGTATGGCTTTTGAGTCCCGGGGCGACGGGGAAGAGATGAAAGAATTGTCCAACCGCCACGAGAACACAGTGGTCACCATATGAGCTTCCTCTTCTCGGATGGCCACGTGTTCTTTGGGGTTTATCCCATCCGCAATGTCCCGGGGGCCACCGGTTTTTCAGCGATCTTTATTCCGACGTCAAAGAACGAGGCTTTGGGGCACCCAGGGGGTTCCGGAGCCTGTTTCTCCGCCCCTAGACGCAGCAACCGTATCTCTTTTTCCATGGTGAGAAGCGATCGGGGAGGTGACTTTGTAACGTCGCAGAAGGACCACTTGTCCACGTATCGGGGAAGTAACGGGGATGTGCCCTCATATAAGGTCCGAGGGGGTTCCGAAGAATCGGGCAGTCTCGATACTTGTACCAGGGGTTCTCCTATAAACAGAACCCGGGCCCGTTGAGCATTCTCTTCAGTAAGTACCAATGTCTTCGTTGTTTTCTGTCGGACTGGGTAACTAACTATCTTACGCGTTAGTTCCTGGATTACCGGGTCTGTTTCGTCTTCTCTTTCCGAATCTTCGGGAGGCGACGACGCTTGTTTTTCGTTTGTCGTCTCCGAATCGACCTTTTTTCTGCCCACATGATCGTTCGGATCGACCCGATCGCGCTTGGATGGTTCTTACTCGTCACGGCCCGTTGTCGTGCGGAGGGTGAGACGCATAGGAATGATGTAGGGGTTGCTACCGGTGTTCCTGAGAACCACTACCCGTCGCTCGAAGTCTAGGTTGGCTTGAAGGGCGTTGAGAGCGGGAAGTCTGAGAAACACATCGTAAGAGGTTACATTGAGTACCACTACATCTCCCAAGGCGTGGACTTTTCCTATCTGGAAAGCGACATTTGCCATTCTACCGACCGCTCTGATCTTCTCCTCATATGCGGAGATCAGACGGTCTCCTTAGTTGAGTGGAATCATTGAATTAAATCTTTTCTTATTTCTGCCCGTTCGACTACTCGCAGGGATATGGCCAACACGGCTGCTCCAGAATCTAGAATTGCACTGTAGGGGACTCCCCAAATTTTCACGTCGCATTCTGCTGATTTCCATGGAATGACTTTAATATGTAGAGAGTGATCGCGTTTCTGGATGAGCCCCAGGCGTACGGGTTTCGAAGTTCCTGGTACGTCTGGTTTTATCTCCTTTGCGGAAAACTTTTCTTTGGCCGCTACCAGCTTGGTGAGTGCAAATCTTTTTCGATTGGCCTTGCAATGCTCGAGCATACGATCGTTGGTTTGTTCCGATATGGACAACAAGTGTCCAATCGGAAGCGGGATGCGGTGATCTAGAGAGAAGGTTAACAACAGTCGTATTTTTCATCACCACTTTAGGATACCCTTCACCATTTCAGGATGCAGCCTGCCTAAACAGGTGATTTTCACGGTCTTCGGCCCTTTCACCACTCCAGAACTATTCAGGTCTGAAAATCCTGAATGATCCTGAAGTGGTGAAAGCTCCGAAGACCCTGAAAACCAGGTTTAGGCAGGCTGCATCCTCAAGTGGTGAAGGGTGGTTTTCATGGTCTTCGGACCTTTCACCACTTCATGACCATTCAGGATTTTCAAACTACCCAAAACTCTCATTTGACCACTTCAGGATGCAACCTGCCTAAACAGGTGGTTTCAAGGTCTTCGGACCTTTCACCACTTCAGGACCATTCAAGATTTTCAGACTGCTCAAAACTCTCAGCTCAGAATTTCCATTCCTGAATTTTCAGCTACCCGATAATCGCTTGTGGTGATCTAAGGCTCGGACGATATCGAGCACATTGATTTTTCCAGTGATGAACTCGGGGCAACTGGATTCCATCTCACCGGGGGATGGTCGCCACTCCGAGATCTCTCATTCGTCATCTGCCGGCTGGATCGCCCCTATCATACCCAGCCCTGGATATCCCAAGGAGAGGAACTGATCTAGTGGGATAAGCTCCGCGGCCTCGTGGGTAGCAACTGCTGTTGGTACTGCTCTGTCAATTTCTTCTACTACTGTCCCTACCTGTCCAGGTCCGTTAGCCAGGGGGGTTGCCGCTGCTGGGGCTGCCCCTAGTCGTACTTGTCGCTGGGGACAGTCTCTTGCCATTTGGCGGGGTTGATGACACGCGTTTCTGTCAATTTCAACTTTAACTAACTACCTACCACTACTCCTAACCCTAAACAGGGGACCCCTGCAAGCATACGTTTCACAATCAAGGGGATGCATGTTGGCCCCCACCGTAATTGGCGGTGATTAGTGAGGCGGTGGGGACCGAACATTTTGCCTGTAGGTGCACCTCCCATCTACTTTCCCCACCTCCATAGACTAAAACCACCTCCATAGACTAACAGTAGTGTCTGTGGCCAGCACACACACATACACACACACACACATCCTACCAATACCAGCTGGGGGCAGCAATTCAACTACAGATCAGTTGGTTGGCACCAAGCGTGCACAGGCGGTCCATGGGGATTGAACTCGCGACCTCGTGAATGCCACTTGCGTGCCTAACCAACTAAGCTACCTAGGCCGCTTGCTCCCTGTCTGTGAATCGTCCCAGTACCCGAAGGAAATAAATAATCGAAAAGCGACGAAAAACCGTACTACGAGGGAAAAAAAAAAACAAACTGAAAATGTATGTAATTAGAGGAAAAAAAAAAGAAAAGGATATGCAAACCACCCCTAACGGTGGCCCGAAAAAAGAGGACGGGTTAGGATCACCTTGGAGGGCCGTTGGAGCCCGGCGGAGAGAAGAAAGGCGGGTTGGGCGCGACCCTCAACGGTTGAAAAAAACCCTCAGAAGGAAAGTACTGACCCCACCTTCGTTTTGCCCTCTTTTCACCCCGCGCCTCCTCCACCCCCCCCCCGCCCCCTCTTTTTCCCGCGCTCCTCTTTCTCTTTTCGAAGCGAAGACCCCGCGCTCTCCTTGGGGGCCTTTATTTCCACTTTTTCCCCATTTCTTTCTTTCTTTTCCTCTTTCTTTTTTCGAAGTGAAGGACCCCGCGCTCTCCATGCAACGCAACAACACACGTAGGCGGGACGACGGACAAAATAAAATAATCATCAAACAAATGGAAAACACGAAAAAAACGAAAATTTTGAGGGCAAAACCGAGTCTGGGCTCGCTTGGCGGGGCCACATAATTTCATCATCTGAGGTCCTCCCCCCCCATGGCTCCACCTTGGCCGAATTTTTCATTTGGGACCGTCCGTTCCCTCGATGAAATGAATGAATGGAACGCCAAAGATTATACAAACAAAATCGATCCCGCCCCGCCGGTAGGCAGGACCGTGGCGGAGCGCCTTCTTTTCTGACCGCAGATTTCAACCCATCAACGGTCATATCTCCATCACTCCTTATCGTCGTAATCCCCCGCCCTCAAGATTCTGAAGGCATCTGGACAGCGTGAACGTCCACATGCATTAAAAATGTTGGCGGATGGCGAGTGGTGCAACTACCGGTGGCGGCCCCAAGTGGCGGTGGCGGGAGGGACCTGGCCCAGGACGGGGGCCGGGTCCGCACTGCCGCGCGCGTTTTACACTTTTTCATTTGCGGCCGTAGATTCGGAAAATGGACGGCCAGAAATGGAAAAGGCGCGCCGGCGAGTCCCGACTCAACCCCCAGAAGGCCGAGAAAAACAGAGACGGCGGCACGGTGGTGGGGGATCGAGGACAGTGACAAAAACAGGCGGGGAGCCGCGATTCTGTGCTGCCGAGCAAAAGACAAAAAAATGCAGCAAACGGACAAAACAAGACCAAACAAAATTGTGAACGTACTACATCGTTTCTGGGCCGTTTCGGTTATGCTTTCGAAAACATGTCGGGGATCGCTGGGGGTGGGAGGTGTAGGCGGGTGCGCTGGAAGGAGGTAGTCGTCTGTCGTGGCAGCAGCAGCAGCGGGAGCAGCAGCAGCAGCAGCAGCAGCAGGAGCAGGAGCTGGAGCGGGAGCAGGTGTGGAGGGAGCAGGAGCAGGTGCAGCCACGGGAGCAGGCCTGGCGGGGGCGGGGGGAGGGGTGGGAGAAGGTGTGGCAAGGGAAGGAGGAGCAGGAGAAGAGGGGAGAGGAGGAGGAGCGCAGGAGGAGAAGGAGGAGGAGGTGGAGGTGTTGCTCGCGCTCGGTCTACGTGTCGTTGTGGTGTCTGTCGTGACCGACCAATCGCCCCCTTGCTGCTACGTACACCTGCTTCTCCCAAAACTCCTACGACTACTACTACCCCTACTGCAACAGCGCGGACTGGGCGTCCTCCTGCCCCTACAACAACAACACCTACTCCTCCTGCCGCTAATGATTCCGTCGTGTTGCACAGCTCCTGGTCGGTAATCTTCATCCTGCTCCCGTTTGTCCGGCTTTGTCCTTATCTGTTGGTCTGTGCGCAGCACGACAACAACCACCTCCTCTCTCCCCAACTCCAGGGGTGGGGAACAGTTGGATGGCGTGTTGCAGTCGAATGTGTGAAACGGAAAAGTTCTGAGAATAGGCCATTGTTGAGCTATAGCAAAAGTAGTAGTAGTAGTAGTAGTAGTAATAGTAGTAGTAGTAGCATTAGGAGAAGTAGTGGTCGAGGGAATAGGAGGAGGAGGAGGAGGAGGAGTAGGAATAGTCGGAGGTGGAAGGAGAGGGGGGTGAGGTGGTGTGGGGAGGAGGTGAAGAGGTTCAGCGGAAACGGACTGCCAGGCTGTGGGCGAGAAGAGGAGGGCTGTGAGAGAGAAGGAGAGAAGGAGGAGGAAAGGATCGTTGAAGCCGACATAGGTGGTGGATTGGAGGGAGAGAAGGTGTGCGCAAAGGGTCAAACTCTAGAGGAGGAGGAGGAGGAGGAGGAGGCGGAGGAGGGAGAGAGCGAAGAGGAAGGTAGGAGGAAGACATTCTGCAGACCTAAATCTGGGGATTGTTGGGAGGCGTGCACAAGGAAGAGAAAGGAGGGGGAGGAGGAGGAGGAGGGGGAGGTGGAGGAGAAGACGGTGTGTTTGATAGCACCGAGGTCGTCTGCCATAGCAGCAGTCATTAGCAGGGGATGCTGTCCGCCTGCGCCGGTTATCCGCCACGTGGATGTGTTGGCTACCTGCCATGTGGAAGCACAGCAGTCCCTGTCACCGTTTCGTATCGTTGGCGGTAGTCGACAAGAGACGTGGGGTCCGTTCTGTCTCCGCAGGACGCTCTCTCTCCTTGCCTTCTGAGGGAGGAAGGGGAGAAGCAGGAGGAGGAGGAGGAGAAAAGGGAGCGGGTGCAAACGGAAGAGGGCAACGAGGAGGAGGATCCCTCTTCTGTCGTGGACGAATGAAGAGGAGTGCAGCTGAAAGTTCACTGAAGTTTGCTTATCATCCCTCTTCTTCGACCTGTAAGTTTTGCTTATCATCCTCCTCTCCACTGCTCTATTCACTGCCCTCCCTCTCTCTCTCTCTCCTCTTTCCTCTACTTTCCTCTTCCCTCTCTCTCTCTCTCTCTCTCTCTCTCTCTCTCGCTCTCTCTCTCTCTCTCTGATCTGCTGATCTTCACCTCATCCTCCATTTCTCTATTAGTCGACGATTCTTCGCCCTCTAGTCTCTCGCTCGTCTTGCACAAACTCACGTGTTAGTCGAATACGCACACACAAACACACTTTCCTTCTCTCTCTCTTTGGCTCTCTCTCTACAAAGCTGATCTTCTCATATCTCTCTCCTCTCACATATCGCCTCTCCACTCGTCTGATCAGTCCCCTTGTTCGTCTCGAATTTCTCTCTCTCTCTCTCTCTCTCTCTCTCTCTCTCTCTCCCTCTCTCTCTCTCTCTGTCCTTCTCTCTCTAACAGACACGTGAACACACATGCTTCCCCCCTCTTGGTACGGATCTGCTCTGCCCTCGATCCTCGTCCTCTCTCTCTCTCTCTCTCCCCTGATCCCAAGTTTGCTGCTGATTCTGTAGCTTCTCTTCCCCCTCCCCCCGCCTTCGTCTCCCACGTCCTCTCCTCTTGTTTCGCACCCCGCAAGTTCACACACATTCACAGGTAACACACAGACACACATCCTTCCGCCTCTTGGTATGGATCTGCTTTCCCTCGATCGTCCTCTCTCTCTCTCTCTCCATATCCCTTCTTTGCTGACGATTCTGTACCCTCTCTTACCACCACTTTCTCTCTTGTTTCGCACCCCACAAGTTCAGGCACACATACACATCATCTCACATATACACATCATCACACGCATACACATCATCACATACGTACACATCACTACACGCATACACATCATCACATACACATACACATACACATATACATACATATACACATACACATACACATACACATACACAGGTATGAACACGGCGCTAATTGTTTTGTGTTTGCCTCCGTTTGGGTCCGTTAGGAAGGCAACACACACAGAGGTGACGACCGTTTACTGGCCTTTTCTCCGTTCTTTGCGCGCTGTTCTTCTGTCTATATCTCATCCTCTTCCTTGCTTGTTCGCGAGTCCCACCTTTTCTTCGTTCTACTGCTCCTGTCACAGTCTCTGTCCCTCTCTTCGACGATCTGTGCGCAATCCCTATCGCCGTCCCGGCGCCAGAGAATCATCATCATCGTCCTCTTTCTACTCCTTATCATCCGCCGCGCCATTCCTTTATGACCATCTTCTTACTCACCCCTTGTCATCTTCATTGATCATTATCATTGTCATTATGCCTGTCATCCTAGTTGATCATTATCATTGTCATTAAGCCTGTCATCAGCTGTGTTACTATATCTATCGTTATCTTCATTACAGCCACATCATCCTCATCTTCATTATCATTATCGATGTCATTATGCCTGTCATGATCTGTGTTACTCTTATCTATTGTTATCTTCATCACACTCTCCTCTTCATTATCATTATCATTGTCAATGTCATTATGCCTGTCGTCATTTGTGTTACTATATCTACCATTATCTTCATTATATTTATGGAGTCTATTCTCCACATCATCATCCAGTTCATTATCACCATATCATGACCAGTATCATATCCACATTACGGTAATTAACACAATCATCGCTCGGAAATGATCATCGTAGCGACTGTATATGATCGTAATTACAGCAGTCATCATCCTCATTGTCATCGTCCCTTGTCATCATCGTCATTGCCTTTATTATCACCAGCACCACCATTATTACTCCTTTGGGCAGCTCACTTAGCCGTTCATGGCCGTAATTTTGGAAGCGATTTTGGAAGCGAAATCGGCAGCTCCTTCTGGCAGGAACCTCATAAGCCCTGATGATTTGGGTTCAAAAAATGCCGAAATTGCGGCCAGGTACGTCAAAGTTAAATGACAGGTGTAATACCATCATGGCTGTCAACATTATCATCGTACACATCAGCATCATCGCCAACGCCGCCACGGCATCACTTAAGTCTTCACCGTCAGCACCTCTACTGGCATCATCATCATCATCAGCAGCAGCTTCAGCATCAGCATCAGCATCAGCATCATTGTCATCGCTATCATGATCATCATGAACGTCATCACGGCTCTCTTCTTCTCCTTCGTCGTCGTCGTCAGGGTATACAGAGAATGATGGCAAAGTAGAACAAATTGCCGCGTGAACTGTAACACGCAGTGATTATTTTCGGATTTTTTTTCCTCGTATTGTTCATGGCTATCGGTCGCTTTGACACAAGAATCTTCCAGCTTCTGAATGATGCTATTTCTAGTGCAACCGCGCAAGATGGAGGATCCGTAAAACTACACGCAGCTATGTAAGGGGGGCCCGCCTAGAGAGAGAGAGAGAGGGAGAGAGAGAGATCCTGCAGTGTTCAGTCAAACGTAGGGTTCGTATACCCACAGAGACAGAGAAACACATGACATATAGAGCGGCGTGCGACAGAGCCATCTTGTGAGAGGACAGAAATAGGGTAGCGAGCGGACCGGGGAGGGAGGGGGAGAGAGAGAGAGAGAGAGAGAGAGAGAGAGAGAGAGAGAGAGAGAGAGAGAGAGAGAAAGAGAAAATCAACGCCACATAGACTGCACATCTGCAAGCATCGGATCCAAACAGTATGTTTCAGAGGTAGAAATGTCATTTCAGGGAGAATAGACTCGTTATCTGCAAGCCTGTATACATTTGCCAACTGACCTTCCCTCTTATCTCTCTCTCTCTCTCTCTCACACACACACACACACACACACACACACACATACACAGAGAGAGAGAGAGAGAGAGAGAGAGAGAGAGAGAGAGAGAGAGAGAGAGAGAGAGAGAGAGAATTACTGGCTGCCTGACGTGTTGGAGATTCCCTTTGGCATGTGGTTTAGCTGGCAGAGGGATGGAATTCAGCAGATTGCCTCGCTGCTACCGTCTTCCCCTGAACACAGCGCACCCTCATCATGAATCTGTTCCAGCTATCGTATAGATTCATGATACAGTTACGATAAGGGGTGCGTTGTGTTCGCGGGAGGAAGGTAGGCTACAGAAGACGTCACGGCCGTGTTGTTGTTTTCGACGATCCATTAACACAAAAAAAATTGCGGCGTAGTCGTCCGTTTATTTGGACTTTTGTTTATAGATTATGTTTCTTTTCTTTGATTTTTTTTCCCCCCCCCCTTACGAGTATGTTTCTATTCTGCTGGCACACGATAGCACCGATGGGTCAGCATTGTGCCTCGCTCGACTGCTCTCCGAATGTGCAAAATGAGAATGAATCGTCCGCTATCACATGGACAGATACACGGCAATTTTTTTGGTCGTTTGTGCATGTGGAGAGTCGTGGCGCCAAGCGCATTGTGCAGACCGTTTATGGCATCGCTCTTTTCGATTTCTTTTTTCATTTGTTCACTTCTTGGTTTCTATTTTGTGTTTCACTTAGTTTTTTTCAATTTATTACTCAACTTTATTAAAGTTTATTTATTCCTCCCTCTTTTCTCCCTGTACTATGACGCAAGCGCGTCTATGGGTAGGTAGGGTAATTCCTTTGTTTCCCTTTTCCGCAATTCCTTTCCTGGGCGACTTTTTTTTTTTTCAAGACAACACCTGCTGAGTGTGCTAGGTGTGGTGACAAGAGAACCACTCTCAGCAGCTCTGCCAGTGGCTCCAATCAAGGGCGACTTGGCATTCGTTCGGGTTCTTCGGTTTGAAATGCCGATTCTATGACGACGATCTGGCCGTCGATTCTCCATATCGGTCCGTGGAATCACGATCTCTGGCCGACGATTCTGTGTCTCTGGCCGTTGATTCTCCCTGGGTTGCCGGTGGTCCCCCCCCTCTGGTCGTTGATTCTCTGTCCGTGGCTGTTGATTTTCTCTCTCTGGCCGTTGATTCTGCCTCTCTGGTCGTGGATTGGCTGTCTGTGGCTGTTGGTTTTCTGTCTCTGGCCGTTTATTCTCTGTCTGTGGCTGAGATTTTCTGTCTGCGGCCGTTGATTCTCCCTGGGTTGCAGGTGGTCCCCCCCCTCTGGTCGTTGTTTCTCTGTCTGTGGCTGTTGATTTTCTGTCTCTGGCCGTTGATTCTGCCTCTTTGGTCGTGGATGGGCTGTCTGTGGCTGTTGATTTTCTGTCTCTGGCCGTTGATTCTCCGTGGGTTGCCGGTGGTCCCCCCCCTCTGGTCGTTGACTCTCTGTCTGTGGCTGTTGACTTTGTCTCTGGCCGTCGATTCTCCCTGTCTTGTCGGTGGTCCCCCCTCTCTGGTCGTTGATTCTCTGACGACCAGAGAGGGGGGATCACCCGCAAGACAGGGAGACTCGACGGCGAGAGACAGAGAATCAACGGTCAGAGACCGAGAATCAACGTCCAGACAGGCAGAATCAACGGCCAGAGACAGAGAATCAACAGCCACAGACGGAGAATCAACGACCAGAGAGGGAGGATCACCGGTAAGACAGGGAGAATCAACGGCCAGAGACAGAGAATCAATAGCCACAGTTCTCTGTCTGTGACTGTTGATGATCAACAGCCACAGACAGAGAATCAGCCACCAGCTCTGTCTGTGGCCGTTGATTCTCCGTCGCTGGCCGTTGATTATCGTAGGATCTGGTCGTCGACTCTCTCTCTCTCTGTGACTGTTGATTCTCCTTCTCTGGCCGTTGATTCTCCCTGTCTTGCCGGTGATCCCCCCCGCTCTCTGGTCATTGATTCTGTCTGTGGCTGTTGATTCTCTGTCTCTGGCCGTCGATTCTGCCTCTCTGGCCGTTGATTATCGGATGATCTGGCCGTCGACTCTCTCTCTCTCTCTCTGTGACCGTTGATTCTCTTTCCCTGGTTGTTGTTTCTCCGTATGTGGCCGTCTGTTCACTGTATCCTACCCCCTGCTCCCTTAAAATAAAAATGAGAACAAAATAAAAAATAAAATAAAATTAAGTAACAGTTTATCCGTGTTCGCACGTTGAATATTTTCGACACCAAACAAATCAGGTTGATTGATTAAAAAAAAAGAAAAGAAAAAAAAGGTTGATTGATTAGATGAGGTGACTTAGCACACAGCAATATTACTGAATACACAGCAAAAGACTGAGCAGAGCCAAGTCGTCACAGTACCAAAAAAACAAAAAATAGCTGGTCATGTCACAGTAGATGAAAGTACAATAAGATTGCAAGCCGGTGGCTGGTCTGGCTATGCCAATCCCCGTTTCGAAGTTGGAATCTGATCGCAGATGAATAGAACAAAATCACTCTGAAAAAAAAAAAGAAAAAAAAGAAAAAAAAAGAACAAAATCACTCTGAATTACCTGGGACCGGTCAGATCAATGATGATATCTGAAGTCCGTCACCGTTTTAAGAAAAAAAAAAAAAAAGAAGGAAGAAGAAGAGAAAGAGGAGAAAAAGAAAGAAAAGGAAAATAAAAAAGAACAGAAGGGAGAAGAAGAGAAAGAGGAGAAAAAGAAAGAAAGGGAAAAAAAAAGAAGAAGAGGAGGGAGGATAAAAGTAGGGAACGCTGGTGATCTTGAACGTCATAAAAAAAAGGATTGTTCCCGAAAGTGGTTTATGTGAAAAATTCAAAGGGGAAGTTTGGCATCGGATGCTGTCGTGCCAAATCTTTTTTTTATTTTTATTTTTTATTATTTAAGGATCAGATATTGAACTGATTCGAACACATAGGTGAGCAACGGTGATCGTGAATGCCATTAAAAATAAAACGATTATTCCAGATCAGTTTTTTGAAAGCGGTTGTTGTGAAAAAAAAAACATCAATCGAGAAGTTTGACATGGGATGCTGTCGTGCCGAATCTTCTTCTTCTTCTTCTTCTTCTTTTTTTCTTTTCCCTTTTTTTTTAAGGATCAGAAATTGAACTAATAAGAAGTTTGAGAACAGATCGGTGAGCAACGGTGATCTTGAATGTCATTAAAAAAAACGATTATTTTAGATCAGTTTTTTGAAAGCGTTGATGTGAAAAAAAAAAACATCAATCGAGAAGTTTGACATGGGATGCTGTGGTGCCGAATCTTCTTCTTCT